ACTCTAAAGCTCCTGATGAATTTTAACCCAGATATGCCTATCCTAGCATGTTATCCTAAACATATCATTAAACAGAATATGCACAAATGTGTTCATTTCTGCTTTATTCTAAATAGGAAAATCTTGGATTCAATATAAATATCTAACACTGGGTGAATAGTTTATTATTGAGTATTATGCGTTTACTTAAAAACTAAAGACTAGAAAATACAAGTGGCTTATTATAATAAAATATATACACTAATAGCTTCCATATCAGTAGATGTATTTTATATATTGTATCTACTCTTTTATAAGTAAAATATATATACTAATGCTTCCATATCAGTATATGTATTTTTAAATACTGTATCTACTGTTATATGTATGTATACAGTTTATATTTTCTTGTATATACTGAAAGCTTACATATTTTTATATAATATGTATTATTTTATATAATGGAATTTGCAGAAATCACAATTGCTAGTTGGCTAGGGTACTGGGATTATTATTAAATTTTATCCTTAATTTTAAGAAAACGTTATTTCTGCTTGCATCCTACAGTTCTTTTTGTTCCTGTTATCTCGCAAAATAGATATATGGGGTGTGTTTGGGTTTCCACCCATTAGAGAAACCTTTCAAACTCCTAACGGCCTATCATTTTTCTATCCTAAGCAGTAATGATGATAAGTTATCATTTTTAATTCAATATTGTTAACATCATTTAGGAAATAACTTGTTTTACTTTGAAGTTAGGAAGTACCTAACAAGGTCATTAATATGTGTTTATTTTAAAGTATTTTGTTGTAATGTAATACAAATATGGAAAGGTGTGTTAAATTAATTTTAAAGTTAGAGAAATTATAAAATTACAAATTAATATATTTATATTATAAAATTATATATGTCTTATAAAACACCCCTGTAACCACCATTCTTGTCAAGAAAAAGACTGTTTCCATCACCTCAGGAATGCCCTTTCCAATCACGCTCTTTCCTCCCATCTCCCAATATAACCACCTTCCTGACTTCTGTGGAAATCACATAAGTAATAAGTATACATCCCTACACAGTTTAGTTTTGTCAGCTTTTGAACTTTATATAGAGGTGTGCTAGCTTTCTTATACAGTATCTTTAATAGGAAATCTTAATAGGACTGTCTGTTAATGCAGGTTTTATGAAACTTTTACTTGTGATTTTGTTTCTGCCTGGCACTTAACCTCAGCTGTCATTTCAGAGGCATTTGTTCTCTCAGGAGGGAATATCTAATTATGGTATCCTGAGTCTCCCTTTGCTTATTAATTGGATTGCTTTCTTCACAAACTTTATCTAATTCTCTTAAAGCTTGTGTACATTTCTTTCACGGTTCTTCTAATCAGAGCTGCTTGATCATGTCTGCTGTCTAAAATCTTTAGAAATATATCTCTCCACTATGAGTTTCCTTATATAGCATGAGTAAACCTAGTCATTTGCTTTCTAAATTCACAGTAATTTATAGATAAGAACTATATAACAAAATGTCTGAAACTATAGACTTAGTTGAATACAAAAGTAGTTGCTTTTTAGAAAAATTCGTTCTGTGGCAGATAGAAATTTTTCAAAATCATATAAATGTTGAGTCTTGCAGGGCAAGGTGGAAGGCACTCAGTTCAAAAGCAGTTTTAAACATTTCTTCAGAATAACCTTTCTCAACCCATTCTCTACAGTTCTAAGTGAGATATGGTTTCAGGATTTTTAACCCCAAACTGTGGACTTTAAAATCATAAAAACTCCTTATATGTTTGTGTGGTGCTTTTATAATTTGTTTTCACAGACACTATTTCAGTTGATTCTCTCAACCCTGTATTGTAAAAAGGACTGTTACTAAAACTCCCATTTCATTATAATTTCCATGTAGAGCAAATATAGCCCAAAAGAGGGTGTTTGTTGGACTTGCCTGTAGTCACAGGACTAGTGAAGGGGTAACTGGAACTTGAACCTTACATGCTGGGATTTTTGTGTGTGTGTTTTGTTTGTTTGTTTGTTTTCTGCCACAAGACCAGTTATGTATTACTCAGCAGCTAGACATGTAAAAAAAAATCAGCGTCCATTTTTCTAGTTTAGTTCACTCAAGTGTTTTTAATACTAGTGAGATTTAAATTTGGTTAGTTGAAAGTTCAGGTACATTCCATGCTGGATTAAAAAAAGCAACTCTTTAAAGAAGAAATCTTGTTTCTGTGCTTCAGTTAATGACCAATATGTCTTAATTTTTAGCTTCTTAACAAGCTTTTAAGATTTTGACTGTTTCATGGTGAGGAGACATTAGGTAACTTCTGACTGCTTTTGGGGGGAAAATGGGAGTTGTTTTAGTCCCTTGTGGAGTATGTCTGGACCAACCTTTGTCTCTTGATAAAACAAAGGATAAGCAACTTGAAGTTGTAGTCCAAGTACTTAGTCTGTAGTGGAGCATTAATCAGCTTTAAAAAGGAAGACAATTTTGATACATGCGACCACATAGATTAACCTTGAAGTCATTAAGTGAAATAAGCCAGTCACAAAAGAACAAATACTGTATGAGTCTATTTATATGAGGTACCCGAAGTAGTTAAATTCAGAGACAAAATGGAATGGTGGTTGCCTGGGTTGGGAGAGGGGAAGATGGGGAGTTAGTGTTCAGTGGGTGGAGTTTCAGTTGGGGAAGATGAGAAAGTTCTGAAGATGGATGGTGGTGGTGGTTGCACAACAATGGGAATGTACTTAATGCTGCAGAACTGTACACTTAAAAATGTTTAAAATGGTGAATTTTATACAGATTTTACTACTAAAATATGAAGAAGAAAAAAGTGCTTAGTTTGAAATAGGGTGCTTTGGAGAAGAAAACAAGAGAACATAAAAGTCAGGCTCGCCTGCCATGAGCAGGCACATATAATTTAAAGGTGACTCAGGGCATGGAGAAGGGAATATGATATTAAAGTTTAAGAATGTCATTTTTCAAGAACATTTCAGAATCTGGGTGTTGGTAGGTTTAGGAAAATTAAAAATATCTACAGTAAAACCTCACCAATGTGTGCAAGTGCAGAAAAGATTTTGAATCTGTGTAAAATCTACATTGATTTTTACAGTTTTATTTTCAAGTATATAACCAAGGCACAAATTGTATATGTAACAAAATATTGTTGGGTGGCAATAATGAGTAGATCCAAAGAGTCTGTAATTAAGTCATTAATTATTTAGCACCTTAAAAGTTGTGTGAATATTTTGTTGAATGGATATTACTATGGATGTTCATACAACGCTTTTATTTTTTCAAGATTTATCTCAGGTACCCTGAATATACCATTTCTTAGCAAACTCTTATTTTTCCAGATTTAAAAAAAAAAGGCTGAACTATAATTTTGTTTGCAACCTAAATCTTTATTAATGCTATTTATGTTTAGTGAGGTATTCCCTGTAGTTTTATGTTCTAATTCTTTTGATTGTTTTGGATATCTCTGAAAAATTAGGCCAAGGAGGTATTCATTGTTTTTTTTTTTTTAATTTTAATTTAGTTTTTTGTGTGTCCCAGGCTTCTTTATTTAAGAAAGTGATGAGTGATGTGGGGATTAAAAACAAGAGCATCCTTGAACTTTACCTTCCCTCCAACCAGTTCCCCCCAAATTCCCTGCCCCCACACCCTTTGCATTCCTAAATCCTTTCTTAATGAAGAACTTAATCCCAAAATCCTGGTACAGACCCCGGGTTCTCTTTGCCTAGCTCTCCCCCTTCCTCTGGCCCCCATTCCTGGGAACGGTTGGCGTCTCAGTTTGAATGGAGGGGAGAGTGCAGAGTGGTGACTGACACAGAGGGGGAAGGCTTCACCCTCAGAGAGAGGAACTGAGGAGTATAGCGTAGTGAAGTGAGGGCCCCCGTAGCCTGGGGTATCAAAATGGGGTCCTGGTGCCAGAAGAAAGGATACTCGTGCCCTGAGAAAGGGGACCCAGCAGCCTCAGAATCTTCTCCTCGCTAATAGTTCACTGCTTCATCATTTGTCCTTCTGCCAGCAATGGCAGAACCATGCTCGGGCCACATCCTTCTCAAGCCCAAGCTGCTGGGCAGTGTGGCGGATCGGCTGCAGGGTGGGTTTCTGGCACCGCAGGCACATCGCATGTTTTCCAGGTTGCCTCTCACTCGGTTCTTGGTTCTCGATCCTTGTTTGGTATTTGTTGTTCACTTTCTCTTTTGGGCCTGCACAAGGGCCTCTGCTTTGCATATCTCCTGTAGATTGTTGTTGTCAGCTTCTCCCACCCACTTCTGCAGCTTACACATGTTCTTGAAACTGAGCTGCAGAGCCTCACAATGGCAGATAGTGGTTTGGCTAAACACCTTCCCAAAGAGAAGCCCCCAGGGTGAGCCCCACATTAGCCTGAGTGTATCCCAGGGTGGTCCTCTTCTGCTTTAGGAGCTTGGCAGATTATTCCAGGTCTTTCTGCAGAGCTTTGATGTCCTGGGATTACTCAGGGTTTTGCTCCAGCTTCTTGTCCGGCCTCACAGCCCCAAGTGGGGCAACGCTGGGCTGGGCAGGGGTGGGGAGGCCCCCTCAGAGTCGCTTTCCACCCCAGCTCCCACTTACCTCCCTGCTTGCCCTCCAGCCTGGAGGTCTCCAGGCTGCGTTGGGGCACTAGCCCCTCTCCAACCTGAGGTCCGCAGTAGGCGGTCACCCGCAGAACTCATAACTGCAGGAGGGCACGGGGGAATCTTCTATAGGCCAGATGAAGCCTAAGCATGTCATAATATAATAGTGTCTTGAATATCTGGTGAAGATTCTGAATAGTGTGTTTTTAATATGTGGGCACTAAGTATTCTATAAAATATTTATTTTATTGTAATTACTTATGGCCTTTACCCTATGTCAGTTTCTATTCCAAGAAAGTATATGTAAAAATAGAAGGTAGCAGTCAAATAGAAGTTGAAATGTGGGATTTGGATGTTTGTCAATTTTAGATGTGCACCCTTTTTATCTTTTACTTCACTGATGAAATTTTTTTTCTTTTTAATTTTAGTAAAAAATCCCAGAAGTGGGATGAAATGAACATCCTGGCGACATATCATCCAGCAGACAAAGACTATGGTTTAATGAAAATAGATGAACCTAGCACTCCTTACCATAGGTAATGTTTTGTAGATTCATTCCTTTTTTTACTTCCATTTTGCATTCCATATGAGCTTCTGAATAACAGCTGATTTAAGTTTCTGTTTGATTTTATATTTGTTACTGGAGCACGAATCAATAACCCAACTGCATATTTGTGTATAATAGTATAAGTAATATGTAACTTTATTTTTTTTTAAAGATTTTATTTATTTATGAGAGAGAGGGAGAGGGAGCTAGTGCGTGCACAAGCAGGGGGGAGGGGCAGGCAGAGGGAGAAGCAGGCTCCCCGCTGAGCAGGGAGCCCAATGTGGGACTTGATCCCAGAATCCTGGGATCATGACCTGAGCCAAAGGCAGATGCTTAACCCACTGAGCCACCCAAGCGTCCCAGTAATATGTAACTTTAAAACTTGGGGATCTAGGAGCATCTGGGTGGCTCAGTCGGTTAAGCGTCCGACTCTTGATTTAGCCTCACTCAGGTCATGATCTCAGGGTTGTGAGATCAGGCTCTGCACTGGGCATGGAACCTGCTTAAGATTCTCTCTCCCTCTCACTCTGCCCCTCCCTAACCCCCCCGTAAGAAAAAATTGGGAATCCGTTTTGTACATTATAATTGTAGTAGTAAATGTTTGTTTGCCGTAACTCAGTGGTCCCTAGCCACTGATGATACACACAGATTAGTGACTTGTGCCTTCCTTAAGATCATCTATTTATAAAAAGGAAGATGAGGGTTGGACTTGTTTGCTTTCTAAGTAGAAATCAGGGGCTTACTCAGTCCTCGCAGAAAAGGATAACGTCACAGCTTTTTTTTTAACCCATTCAAAGACAAGTGGTCATTACTATTGTTCCATGTCCTTATTTTTAAACTTAGACTTCAGATAATTACATTGTGATTATTGGCAGTTTTGAGTCTTCCAGAATTTTTTATAGTGTGTGGCAATAATTAGTATGAAGACAAAAATAATGTACCAGTAAGCATTATGAGAAGATAGAGATTCTAAGTAGTAGAAATACCTAATTCAGACCATGCCCTAATTTGTAATGAAGAAGACTTCCAGGAATGAAGTACTTTGTCTATGAAGGAAGGTAACATAAATCCAGGAGTTACTGTTAAAATAGAGTTAAGAAAGTCTGTATTTTGAATCAGTGATGAAAACTTTAGAAAGTAAGTTGAGATAACTTATAACTTGTTGATAGCAAAAACAGTAAAAACAAGAATAAACAGGAAGATTTTGACAAAGGTAGAAATAATGAAAATAGGTACAGGTGCTGAAACTCAATACTAATAAAGCTTGAGGGAAGAAATGGACATATCATTTATGAAAAGTTTATACCCTCATTTTTCTTCTAATTACAAGAATATACTTTATATCTTAAAGCTTTTATTGTGCCGGAAGCCACAGTCAGGGCTTTCTTCCTTTTCAGTAATGGTAGTAGATAGACATCTTTCCTTATCTGTGTTGGTTGGAAATATCTATTCTAAAAGAATTAAAATTGAACATGACTCAAAAAGTTGTAGGCATTATTTTTAGACTGTTTATATTTAAAATATAATAAATCTGAATGGTATTTATTTAGTACTGCTTTTTTTCCCCCGCTTTACCTTACCCATATCCTCCCTCTGGGAGTTGCCGAAGTCATTTGGTTCCTAAGTAATTGAGGCTATATGTATGTACAGATATATGTGCTTAGCTTTTATCGATTTAGTGCTCAGTTTTAACAGTTTCTTTCATGGCCCTTTTTTTTTTTTAAGAGTTTTGTTTAATAAAAGAGGATGCTTTTTATAGAAAGATCATGTTATACTATCTAAGAATTTCACACTGTTAGTATACAGAAGTTATTAATGCTTTTATATATATGTATGTATGACTATACACACACACCAAACACACACATATAATTTGCCTGTAAATTTTATAATATAACATAGAGTTGTCTGTAAAAGTTCTACAAATTGATAGATTTTATTCTACTCTAATTATATCCAATAATGTAAATAACTTTATTTCAACTTCCCATGGAAAAAAGAGCAGCAGCATCTAAACTGTAGCGCTTATTTAACTTGTCTCCTCAACTACCAGGAAAGATATAAATCACTTTTTTTTTTTATATATATATAGGTGACTTCTGCTTTTATAAACCTTTCAGTGGCTTGAGAATGAACTATGCCCATGTTTGCAATTAAGTGGGGAGAAAATTTTTTATTAGAGGATAGATTGGGAAAGCTAATAGCTTTTAAAATGCTCTGAATTAGGTCTTAGGATCTTTTTTTTTTTTAAGATTTTTATTTATTTATTTGACAGAGAGAGACACAGCAAGAGAAGGAACACAAGCAGGGGGAGTGGGAGAGGGAGAAGCAGGTTTCCTGCTGAGCAGGGAGCCCGATGTGGGGCTCTATCCCAGGACCCTGGGACCATGACCACCCAGGCACCCCAGGTCTTAGGATCTTAATTATGGTATTTTACCTAGCCTTATGTCTGCGTGGATCATTTGTTTCTGTCTTCAGGTTGATGTACAAATATATATTCTAAAACCAGACAGTGGTTTTGTTTTTGTTTTCCTACATATTTGTTCCCTCTCATGGATGGAACAATTGAAGTTTTTTAATTTTTTACAAATGATTCGAGTTCTTAATATTTATTTTCATGGTTGCAGTAGTGGTTTTTAAAAATCATTTGGAGGGTTTTTTTGATCGGTGCTATATTTTCAAATATTTGCATGGAATAGAAACAATTTAAATTTAAGCCTCAGGGCACCTGGGTGGTTCAGTCGGTTAGCATCTGCCTTTGGCTCAGGTCATGATCCCAGAGTCCTGGGATCAAGCCCTGCATCAGGCTCTGTGCTCAGCAGGGAACCTGCTTCTCCCTCTCCCTGCCACTCCCCCTGCTTGTGTGTGCACTCTCTCTCTCTCTCTCTCCCTCTCTCTCTGTCAAATAAATAAAATCTCTTAAAAAATAAATTAAGCTTCAAATAGGACAACAGAGCTATAAATATTTTGATATAACTAAATCAATAGAATTATGGTTCTCTACCTTGTTTTTCTGCTTGAAAAATTACAGTTTAGGTATTAATTATAATGTGCTTGTCATTCTAGTATGGTAGGTGATGATGAAGATGCATTGAGTGATTCAGAAGCCACTGAAGCCCTGACCCCAGATGTCTTAGCTAAGAAGTAAGTACTGATGACTGAAGCATTTTCACTTACATATTTTCACTTGTTTTTAATTATTCAGAGTTGAAGCCATTCTACTATACTTGTACAAGTGTAAATAAAGAGCATGAGCTAAGTTTATTTGGATTTTTCATAGCAACTTTTATAGTCTTATTTCTAGATTAAAATCAAAGTATGCAGGTAGCAGAAAGATTAGAGTACTAGAGCCTAGGACACAGATTCCTTGTGTCAATCCCCTATGCTTTTGTGTTTTTGTTGTTGTTGTTTTAATTAATGTCCTGTGTTTTAAAGATAAAAGTAAGATGGTACATCTGGCTGGCTCAGTCTGAAGAGCATGCGCTCTTGGTTGTGAATTTGAGCCCCACATTGGGTCTACACCTAGAGATTACGCAGAAATAAGTGGGTTCATAAACAAAAAGCTCTATTTCTTTGCTTTGATTTCTATCACCTTCCACTTTTCTTATTGCTTACTGGTTTCTATACTCATTCCCACTTTCTTGCTTTTTATTTTCCTCATCAGGTTATAGCTGGCATATTAATAATCTTTAAATGTTTTTATGAGACTCAAGAATTGAATGAATGAGACACCCAATAAAAGAATATCACAGTGTTGATTTCTTTGTAAATGATTGTTGTGTAGATTAGCTGCTGCTGAAGGCTCAGAGCCAAAGTATCGGGTTCATGAACAAGCAAGCAGTGAAGACGAGGATAGTGACCTCTCACCTGAAGAACAAGGTAGTTGATTTCCTTTACTGCTTTCAGCAGTGTGCTAATAATTTTTGCTAAAATAAATCCATTATTTGAAGGTTGTCAAGTAGTTTTCCTTTTGGGGAAGTGGATGGTGGAAGGTTAGGGAACAAAATTTTTATAATTCAGATTCTGCTCATGTGGGTTTATTGGATAACAGCTTCCCTCCCCCCTGCACACATACACCACCTCCCTTGGTTTCGAGAATTTGGGAAAATATTACCACCTTTTAAGTAATTATAGTTCCTTTGTACTTTTTTCTTTTTTACTGTCTGATACAGAGTAGATGCTCAGTAAATATTTATTAATGCTTTTAGAGTCATTGAGTGTTTGGATGATCTTAAAGTGGATAGCAGTAAGAGCTAATTTCCCAATTGCTTGTGCTTTTTCTGTTTTAAAACTGTGGTGAAACTTACCAAATGAACCAAGATGGTCAGATGTAGAGTGAAGATCTTTCTTAGGTCCCATTGAATAAAAAAAGAACAGTAATGTCATAGGCAAGGAGATTAAAGAGCCTTTCAGCAGGGTTGGAAGAGGCTCTTGTAGCCCATACAGTACATACACAGTTAAGGCATTGCTACCTACTCATGGTTTATTTTTACAAGTAACAGTGGTTATCTGTGGAGGTAAGAAAAGGAAGATATTTCATCTTGTTGCCTTTTACACTCTTTGAACCATGTGAATGTACAGTCTTTTCAAGAATTAAAATTATTTATATAGTGTTTAACTATTTTTTTAATTTTATTATGTTAATCACCATACATTACATCATTAGTTTTTGATGTAGTGTTCCATGATTCATTGTTTGTGTATAACACCGTGTTTAACTATTTTTTAAAGGAAAAACGAAGCCTATGTATAGGAAAAAAATTTCAAGAAAAACACAAACACACCCTCACAAAAAAGAAAAAGAAAAGAGTAGTGTACTTGAAGCCTGGAAATGTGGATGTTACCTGTACCGTAAAGAAGTTCAGAAACTTTAGAGCTGAGATTCTGAATATTGCTAGTTAATTGTCAGAATCTTTGTCATGTGTAGCTCCTAAGGTATAATTTGCTACTCCTGTCTGTCATCTTCAGAATATAGCTTATTCAACAAACTGTGATGGTCAGAGCCTAATTGTTGTACAAGAGAAAAAAAATTTTTACACACAGCCTAATCACAAGTTGTATTATAGGTCTTGTATCCTCAGTGACTTCCTAACTTATTATCTAAAAATATAGTCCAAAGACCCTTGAAAACGGTTTCAAATATAAATTGTTTCTGGAGCTGGTTTCTTCATTATCCTCTTAAAAACATCTATTGAGAACAGGAATTTATTATTAGTCTATATTGTCAGTTTTCATAAAGGGATTTTTTTTTCCTCCCCCCCCTCAAATTGTAGTTCCAGAATTAGCCAGCAGGGGGAGCAATTTGGTTACAAGTTCAAAAGTTCAGTTCCTACTAGTAGGTACTGACTCCTGTAGGTGTTTATTGCTTTTAAACAAATTACATATTTGAAAGTCCTTGTTTATTGATAGAAATTCTTAGAAAAAAATATCTTGTAACTGGTAGCATAACAATTAAGATATTGGTTGTGGAATCAGACAAATCAAAGTTTGTACTCCAGGTATGTCACATGTCTAATTTGTAATTTCTCTGAGCCTCAGTTTCTTTAAATTGACATCTATAAAAATATTTAGAGGGCGCCTGGGTGGCTCAGTTGGTTAAGCGACTGCCTTCGGCTCAGGTCATGATCCTGGAGTCCCGGGATCGAGTCCCGCATCGGGCTCCCTGCTCAGCAGGGAGTCTGCTTCTCCCTCTGACCCTCTTCCTTCTCGTGCTTTCTATCTCTCATTCTCTCTCTCAAATAAATAAATAAAATCTTTAAAAAAAAAATATTTAGAGGTATTGTGAGTATTAAATGAGATAAAGAATTTAAAGCACCTAACACTGATATTGTAAGTTTTCAGTAAATAATAACTTGTAATAACTTAAATAATTGGTGTATTCTCCATTATTTTATAGAATAGTAATTCACTTGTGAAGTTCACATGGAGAGTTGATTATTGTCAGAGCCAGGCCTAAGATCCTAACGTCCTTGTACTCTTTGTAGTATGGGACTCTACCATACAAGGATTATAGGTAAAATGAATATAAATAGTCAAAGAAGATTGAGACCACTTGTATTAGCATTTTTCTACAAAATGAATATATTGTATATTTTAAACTTACATAAAGCATTTTGAATATTCTAAAATTAGAATGTATCTATAACAAGCAAAACCAAATTCAGCATCTCTTAGAATTAAAAAAATAATTTTCTTAGACTGTAAATATTCACAAGAGAGAAATACTGTAATGTCAACTCCTAGGAATAAAAAATTGCAAATTAAAACAGCATCATGGGGACGCCTGGGTGGCTCCGTTGGTTTAGCAGCCAACTCTTGATCTCGGCTCAGGTCTTGATCTCAGGGTTGTGAGTTCAACCCCTGTGTTGGGCTCCACACTCAGCACGGAGACTACATACCTACATATATACATAGCACATAAATAAACACACAGCATCATGGTCCCTTTCTTTCCTTTCAGATCAACAAAGATTAAAAAGAATGAGTTTCTTTTTGGGTGTGAATGTAGAGAATAAGTTACTCATGTACTTATCAGTGGGCATGAAAAATGGCTTGGCTTTTCTGGAGGGCAGTATGGCAATATATGAGCCAAAAGCTTTAAAAAAAAAAATGATACCCTTTGGTCTAGCAATTCAGTTTCCCAGAGTCTATTCCAATGTTTTGTAAACATTTTTGACTAAGTCCTACATGTTATACATGTATGCATAAATTACAAAAAGAAAAACTTCACAAAATAGTACTCACCCTTAGTATGTGTAATGCATTGCAGTTTATTCTGTTTTTTTGTTTTCATTTTTTAAAAAATACTGGTTGTGACCCACTAAAGAGTCCTGATGCACGGTTTGGAAAAGACACTAGTTCACACTGATCAAGTAATAGAACCAAAGCACAAAACGTATGTGTATTACACTATAAAAACATTGAAAATACGTAGAGGGAGATTAGAAATCTTTGACCAAGAATAAAGAAATGATAACTCAATACTTTATAACCATTTAAAAATTATATAAATCTGCTGTGTACATGGCAGAATTTTACTATATCTTCATATACCTAATTTATCTAAACTCTGGATCATTTTAGGGTGAAAGAAAGGGTCATATTATGCTTCCTCAGATGGTAGGCATAAACTGAACCTTGCCTGGGCAAACTGGGACATATGGTAATTGTAACTATATCGTAAGTGAAAAAATAGCATATATAAAAATATAGGAGTTATTTTTAGAAAAATTTCTGGAAAAAATTCTAAAGTCATAAAATATTAATGGTAATTTCTGAGTGAGGAAATCAAGTTTGTTTTTTTTTTAAGTTTCTACCATGAACATGTGTTACTTTGTAATGATAAAAAGTGATACCTTTTTAGTAAAGAGATCTGGTATTGGAGGCAATCAGAACCATTTTTTAAAATTCATTATTGAAGTACAATTGATGTTACATTAGTTTTCAGATGTACAGTGTATGGATTCAACAATTTTGTACATTAGTCAGTGTTCATCATAAGTATAGTCACCATCTGTCACCTTATAATATAGTGTTATTACAGTATTATTGATTATATTCCCTTTATTGTACTTTACATCTCCATGACTTAATTTATTTTGTCACTGGAAGTTTGTAAAACCATTTTTTTGGTTTTTTAATATTGGTTTTTACATCATTTGAATACTTGAAAGGCATCACTACAGATTTAGTCCTGAGGATTTGGTCTTTTTATTGGCCTCTTTTTTCCATTTTACTTCCCTCTACCATATGGTATTCTCAAAGAGTAAAATAAATCACAAAAGTAATTCATAAGTAGAGAAGAAGAAAGATGCCTGGCAAGATCTTGGTCGTTTGAAACAAATGTTTATGGAATACTGAGTTGGTGGGCTCAGAACTTTGCTTTACCCAACCCAAATGGAGACTGAAAAGTGATTGATCAGTACTAACAAGAACAATAAATGCCTGCTTTTGAAACATAAGTAACTGTAAGTCATCTGTTAAGTATAGATGATTATTAAAACTTAGAGGGAATTAAAGGAGACTGAGAAAGTCTTTGAGTAGCCTTATGCAGAGATTCCTCTATGCTTTTTTAGCATTAAAATACTTCCATGAATATAATAAAACTATGATAAATGAATTTTAATGCTCTTGTTTGACAAAATAAACAGTTGGCAATTTTATGTCACCCCTTTTTATTTACCAGTCTAAGAAATTTTAAAATCTTAGAACTATTTCTACAGAATAGTCTTTAAATGCTGTTAATAAGATATGATCAGTTAAGTTGATTTGCTGCTAACCCTGTGTTTCTGTGGTGAAGACTATAAATGAAAGAACAGTCTAGGATTTCTTCACTGTCCCTTATAACAACTTTTTCTTAAAATTACTCTGGGAATGAAGTTATGTTTTAACTAGCAGTGTTTTAAATCACTGCAGTTTCTTCATGGATAATGAGAATTTTTATTTATTTTTTTGCTAATAATTCTTTTTTAAAGATTTTATTATTTATTTGAGAGAGAGCACGAGCCAGGGGCTAGAGGGAGAAACAGGCTCTCAGCTGAGCAGGGAGCCCCACAAGGGGCTCGATCCCAGGACCCTGGGATCATGACCTGAGCCAAAGGCAGACGCTCAACTGCCTGAGCCACCCAGGCACCCTGCTAATTTTTTTATTAATAAGAATTTTTGAGGGAATTTTTAATTAATTATAAAAATGGAAGACTTGAAAATACTAAAATTACCCCACAGTTCCTTGTCCCAAAATTAACAAGGCTAATTGTTGAGTCTTATTTTCTGTGTGTATACATATACATGCATGCAGCCTTTTTACCTGACACATATATGGTATTATATAGCTTGTTTTTTTTCCTCATTTCAACTCTTTTTGGAGATTTTTCTTATGTCTTTAAATTTTCTTCACAAATTTACCTAGTAATGGTTTTTATTCCTATTTTCCCATTAAGATGTACTTGAAACATCTAAAGCAGAGGTGTGCAAACTTTTTCTGTATAAGACAAGATTTAGGTTTTTCAGTAAAAAAAATTAAATATTTTAGGTTTTATGGGCCATATGGCCTCAATTGCACCTATTCAACTCTGCCATTGAGCTCAAAAGTAGCTGTTAGCATTATAGAAACAAAGGAGCACGGATCATGTTCCAATAAGTTTTTTTAAGATTTTATTTATTTGAGAGAGGAAGAGAGAGCATGAGCAGGGAGGAGGGGCAGAGGGAGAGGGAGAAGCAGACTCTGCACTGAGCAGGAGCCCTACTTGGGGCTGGATCCCAGGACCCTGGTATCATGACCTGAGCTGAAGGCAGACGCTTAACCGACTGAACCACGCGGGCAGCCCCCAATAATAGTTTATTTACCAAACAGACACAGGCTGTATTTTCCTAATCCTTGAGCTAAAGACTTCCTAAACCTACTTTTTGTATCTTGTAGAAAAAAAGCGACAGTTTGAAATGAAAAGGAAGCTTCACTACAATGAAGGACTGAATATTAAATTAGCTAGACAATTAATTTCAAAAGACCTACATGATGATGAGGAAGATGAAGAAATGTTAGAGACTGCAGCCGAAGAAAGCATGAACATGGAAGAGTCAAATCAAGGTTAGATGTTTCTGAAATTATCAGAGACACTTGTGATTCTTTGTGCCTAAATAACATACTTTATTTTGCTTTACATGTTTAAAAAACCTCAGAAAATTTTTTTGAAATTCACTTAAATTTATTATGCCAAACTTTCTAAAATTTCAACCCCTGTGGCCAATTTCAAAATAAAGTTTTTATGCCCAGAGGTGTTTTGATTTAAGACCATATGTATATGGCTGGATTTTTTCATTTGTTTACTTGGCTTAAGCAAGGATGTTTGTCTTCACATTAGGCTGTATTTTGTTTTTGATGTTTCATATTATATTTTATCTGTCATACCAATCTAAGTTTTAAACTTTTTAAAAGCATGTTTTTAATACGGAAGATTTGTTTTTAACATCCTTTCAAGTATAGAGTATGTCATATCTTTCTAATACTGATTCTTTTGACTACTGGATTGACAAAATACCTGTCTGATTTTTATTTGTTTTTAAGTCTTGGACAGTCAGCCCTTGCAACCTGCCAACTCTTGATCCAACATAGGCAATAGATTTTATTTATTTTTTTAATTAAATTCTGGTATTTAATGAAGGTGAATCTTCTATACTGCTAATGCAGATTTTGTGCCCATTTACCTACTCTTTGTACTTGAAAACTGATGCTTTATACTTGAAAACTGGAGATGTAACTTTATTTGTTGCGCCTCAGATGGTTAAGCCTTAAGAAAGTAACTCATTAGGGCGCCTGGGTGGCTCAGATGGTTAAGCGTCTGCCTTCGGCTCAGGTCACGATCCCAGGGTCCTGGGATTGAGTTCTGCGTCGGGCTCCCTGCTCCTTGGGAGCCTGCTTCTCTCTCTGCCTCTCTCTTTCTCTCTCTCTCTCTCTCTCTCTCTCTTTCATGAATAAATAAATAAAATCTTAAAAAAAAGAAAGTAACATATTATTGTTTTGATGAGCATATATGAAATATGAATGATTCTGTGATAGAACGTGATGACTCTGTGTCTCATTTAATGTCCTAATTACAATAATTTTTATTCCATATTATGCTTTAGACTTTCATTTTGTTTCATATAGTATTTACTTCTATTATATTCACCATCATTGTTTTTTAGCTTATACTTAACAAACTTCATTTTAAGTAATTATTGTTATATGTCTCTCTCTTCCTCTTTTAAAGTTTATTATCCATTTTTAGGTGACATACCCTAATCGGTCTTTGTTTCCCATATCTTTGTGATTTATTTTGATGTATTCAAAATGAATGTTTTTTTGGTTGTAACTTTTCATCAGTTTTTGCTCAGACTTTTAATATCAGTTCTTAGTGACTCTGGCAGAGCACTAGGAATGTCCTTCATTTGCTGGAAATTTGCATCAGTAACACTGTGTCAAAGAATTTAAAGGATTTTTTTTAAGATTTATGTGTTTATTAAGGGGGGTGGGGAGAGGTAGAGGGAGAGGGGGAGAGAGTCTTAAGCAGACTCCGCTCTGACGGTGGAGCCCAATGTGGGGCTCCATCTCATGACCCTGAGATCATGACCTGAGCCCAAACCAAGAGTTGGACACCTAACTGGCTGTGCCACCCAGGTGCCACGGATGTCTTTTTCTTTAAGCCATGGCTTTTGAAAAATAACTCTGGCCTTTTGTCTGTCATTACTGGTAAGATATTAGATTTCACACATTCAGTACATAAATACATTTTTTTCTTTTAAATTCAATAAATGATTAAAATTTGTGTTAGTTCAGTGCCAGATTTTCCTTCAGTGACAGGAGTATATTTTATCATCATTAAGTCCACAAGGATAGAAAAGACTATGTAATAAGCCTTAGGGAAGTAAGTTTGTTCCTTATTTGTCCTCTACTCTTTTTGAGCCCTTAAAGAAAAAAAAAAAACTTATCAGCTTTTAAAATCTCCAGGTTCTATGTAGCCCATTATTTTATGAGTATTATCATTCTCCTCCTCTCCCCAACCTCCTGCCCATTTACATCTATTTTATTGCTGTTTTTATAAAAAGAAAAGTAGCATGTTTAGACTCTAAGGAAATATTTTCTTGTTTTGAGATCTTTTTATAACTTTGGATATTTGAGTTCTCTTAACTGCTACTTTTGATTTATTCACAGAAACATTTCAGTCTGAAACCTTTTGTCCCATCACCAAGTAGACACTCTTGTTCTGCTCTTTAGAATATTTAGGAGGTATACTGATTCTTTTATGTCAGACCAATAAGCCTACATCAAACATCCTTATTTGTTTTTTTAGGTTTTTATATTTATCATCCGTAGCAGTGAAAGGAAACTTTAGCTCAGGTAGTTCCAAGGTTGGCAATACACAATAAATTATATTGACTTTTTTTTTCTTTTATCTTTGCAGGATCTACTACAAGTGACCAACTGCAAAACAAATCACAGAGTTCATAGAAAAGATTTGTTCAACACTGTAATTGTCAGACACAGACCCTGTTACTATAATACACTGCTTCTTGTTCTCAACAATTCATGACTTAAGTACCAGAATGCATACCAGTTATTGTATATTGCCAAGAATTAAATGACTTTCAAGACTAATTGGACTGAAAATGCCTAATTGATACATATATTCTTGTGCCTAGTACTTCACCACAAATATAGCATAATGTCATCAGTCCAAAACTGCATTACTTTTGTAAGAACACTGGTTAATTTGTATATTATATAGCTTTTTATGCTTTAGAGGTTAAAATAATATCTTTTGGGGGGATCTAATTTATTTTCTTCACTTCTAGGTGTGATAGCTCTTATAAAAAGTGGTTTTTTTTTTTTAATCAAAATCCAGTTGGAACAAGAGATTATATAAGCTGGTAAATAGTCTGAAAAGTATTTTAACATGTGTCTTCAAATTGATTTGTCTGTTCAATTGAAAAGATTATAAGAGTAACTTGCATTTTCTGGCCTACTATCTTTAAAAGTCCCCTTGAGTGTCTTTATGTTTACAAGGACAGGATTGAATTTTTCCTCATCAAAACTGGCTTTTTTCACAAATAAATGATCAGGTTAAACTTGCACTAACATCTGCTCTGTTTTTTGTACACTTGATGGGCGGACTTTCAGATCCGTTTTTTAAATAAATACAAGTCTGGTATAGTCTCAACATTCCCTTTATATACCTGTCTTAACCTCCTGTCTTTGTTTCTTACTCCTTTCCACATATACACACACAGCCCTTTACCTTTACAAAGCGTAATAAAGATTGTCATGAAATTAGGAACTCTTCCTCCTCTCACATATTCTATCATTTGCTGCTACAATGAAATGTTTGACTATCAATGCCTATTAGTTCTAATACATGGAGAAAATTGAATAGCGGCCATACTGTAGACAGGAAATAGAATTCAACTGTGGAATTTCTACACCTCTCTGATTGACAGCTTGCTAATTAAATTGCTATAATTAGTTTATTGTTTGACTTGATTAGACCTTAGAAAACAACTAACAGGTTTTTTGCATGATGAGAGAATTGTGTGTAACCAGTGATATGATGATAGTTCCTGAATGTACAGACAGAAGTAATCCTGAATACTTTTTAATTTAAAAACTTTAAATAGTCCCTGCTTTAGGGGAATATGATAATGTATACTATGACAAATGTGCTTTATTCTTCTAACACAGTAAGATCTGGATTTTTTTCCTGAAATGAAGTGCAGTTCCTGTGTTAGTTTAGTGATAGTTTCATTTCTAGTCAATTATTTGTATCTTAATTTTTTGTCAATACCAAAAGAATTCATTATAATGAACAGACTTTTAAAATTTCTGTATATTGTATATATGAAATGGCTTTTATTGAACAGCTTATCTTCCACTTGCAAGTTTATGAGAATACCAATATGTCAAAATAAATAAAAAGTGGGAGAATTCTTTGCTGTTAGAAGAATGTGCTTTTTATTTTGAATGACTTTTTTTTAATGGGATCCAGTCAGAGTACTTCTAAACTATATAGTATTCTGACTGAAACTTATTAGCTCATTATACCTCTGATTTATAAACAAAATAGTGCTTATGTCTGCTTTCTGCTTTCTGAATTTAGAATGTCAAAGTAGTCTTACTGGTTTAAATCCACTTTGGGGAATTTAGCTGATACATATGTGTATACATATGTTTATGCACATAGACTTCTGTTCTTGGTGTTCTCATTTTGAGTTCTGAGAAAGTATGCACATACTCTTTTATATTTGTAGAAATGGCTGCTATATAGTGCGGAAAAGGTAAGACCTTTAACAACTGATGTGCTTTGCTGTTTTCTACAAACTTTTCTGAAACTTAAATCACAGGCAAACTCTCATTTCCGGTTTCAGGAAGTACATAATTATTTCAGAGGAGTAAGACCTGAAAAATGACAATGCACAGTAGAATTTTAGGTAGTCAGATAAAACGGCTTTCGTGTCTTGAGTTCCTCATTGACAGGCTATTGAACTGTATAAAAAAATGAATCTTGTATAATTCAAGTTAGATTTTCCTTTGGAGAAAGTTACCTGTCAGTGTTCAGTTCTAGCCAGGGTAGATTTTATTTTCAACTCTTTAGTCAGTATCACTTCTGCTTAATTCTTTTGGTATCTTTTTTGTGTATTCATTTTTCAGTCTGAAATCGAGCAATGATCTTTAAAATCTGAGACGTATAATGGTATGAAAGATGGTTAAATATGAATAACTTTAAATTTTTTTTAAAGATTATATTTATTTATTTGAGAGAGAATGAGAGCACGAGAGGGAAGAGGGTCAGAGGGAGAAGCAGACTCCCTGCTGAGCAGGGAGCTCGATGCGGGACTCGATCCTGGGACTCCAGGGTCATGACCTGAGCCGAAGGCAGTCGCTTAACCAATTGAGCCACCCAGGCGCCCATGAATAACTTTAAATTGAATATTGAAGGAAAGTGCCATTTTCCCCTAGGCATTCATAATTTTTTCCCTTTTAAGTTCCGTACAGTAAACACATTATAAGAAACTATAGTAGTATGACAATTTTCTACCTGTGGATTTTATTTTCTTGCTACCCAGCTGTCTTAGCACCATGTTCTATTCGCCAAGTGTTCTAGATACCATGAGAGGTTCTTGGACTATATTGTGGCAAACTAGTTGTTTTAGGATGGAAATGATAACAAGAACTACCATTTCTTGAAAACCTATTATTTGTTCTTGCCCGTCATTGTGCTCGGTCTTTATAATCTAATCCTCAAAACAACCACACAAAGCAAATACTAATACTTTGTAGGGAGGAAAAAGCTCTTGTCCAGGTTATTCAGTCTCAGTCTCTCATAAATGCTAAATGACAGGATTCAAATCCAGACCAACTAAATATTATGCTTTTTATCCATGCTTTTTTAGATATAGAAAATTCTCTCATTTTAGAAGTTGCACCTTACAAATAAACTTTATTTGGATTATTGATAAACGTTATGTGCTTGTAGGAATACTATTTTTCAGGTGTTTAGTTTGCATTTTTATTTCTTGTTTTAAACTGAAAACTTGGGAATAATTTTATTTTGTTTGAGGTTAACATGCCATTTAGGGAAAATCTCAAAAGCACAGTAACCAGTGGCTATAGAAATCTAAATACATGTGATTTGGTTGCATTCGGCAAATTTTTTTCTAAGCGTGTTGTTTCAAACTCAGGACATAATTTTTTCATAGAACTAATACTATGAATTAAGAACTAAGCTAGTCTATAAAAATGTAACATGTACCTAAACCAGTGTTTTTCCAGTGTGTTCCATGAAACCCTCATCTCACAGTGTGTTCCATGGAAAGGTATCCAGGAGCAAATAAGCTCTGCACATAGTACATACTTTGTTCCCCTACTTTCTTGGAGATTTAAAATAATGTTGATTATCATATTAAAGAGTCTGAGATATCCTGCATAAACAACCTGTTTTTAAACTACCATTTTCAAATATATTTCACTATAACTTCCTTTCAAGTAACGTAGCAAATAGTAGGGAGCATGATAGTTGGAACTTCCTCCTAAAAGAGAAAGAGAATAATTTACCATTGAAAGAAGGAAGGCTTGGTAGCAATAAGTGCACAGTATCTATCGGTCGTATATAATTTGTTAAACATAAGACTTTAATTTTTGCTAACTTATGGGATGCCTGGGTGGCTTAGTCGTTAAGCATCCGCCTTTGGCTCAGGTCACGATCCCAGAGTCCTGGGATTGAGCCCCACATCGGGCTCCCTGTTCAGCAGGGAGCCTGCTTCTCCCTCTGCCTGCCACTCCCCCTGCTTGTGTGCTGCCCCCCACCCCCGACAAATTAATTAATTTTTGCTGACTTATGCAAGAAACAGTAAAATACATATCCAGGACAGACAAAGATGTGGTTGATGTGGTTGGTTATAAGCTGCTATACTTTAGTAATTTTTTTTAATTGAAATATAGTTGACATACGCTATTCTGTTAGTTTTAGCTGTACAACATAGTAATTTGTCATTTATATACATTACAAAGTGATCGCCACCATAAGTCTGTCACTATACATTGTTATTACAATATTATTGACTGTATTCCCTATGCTGTATTTTACATCCCTGTGACTTGTTTATTTTATAACTGGAAGTTTGTACCTCTTAATCCACTTCATCTGTTTCACCCATCCCCCTGTTCTCCCTGCTGGCAACCACTAGCTCTCCGTATTTATGAGTCTATTTCTATTTTGTTTGTTCATTTGTTTTGTTTTTTAGATTATCCATGTGAAATCATATGGTACTTGTCTTTGTCTGACTTCCCTTAGCATAATACCCTCTAGGTCCATTCGTGTTGTCAGAGATGGCAAGATTTCTTTATTTTTTATGGCTGAGTAATACTCCATTGCATATATATACTGCATCTTTATCGATTCATCTGTTAATGGACACAAAGGTTGCTTCCATATGTTGGCTATTGTAAGTAATGCTGAAGTAAACATAAGAATACATACATATTTTTGAATTCATGTTTTCATTTTCTTCAGGTAAGTACCCAGAAGTGAAACTTCTGGTGTTAACATTTTTCATTTTTTGAGGAACCTCCTTACTATCCATAGTTATTCATAATGGCAGTACCAATTTACATTCCCACCAGCAGTGCATCAGGGTTCCATTTGTCCACGTCCTCACCAACACTTGTAGTTCTCTTTTTTTTTCATTTCATTTTTTTTAAGTTTTTATTTTAATTCCCATTAGTTATCATACAGTGTTATATTAGTTTCAGGTGTACATACAGTAATTCAGTAGTTCCATCTATCAGCCTGTGCTCCACACAACAGGTTCTTCTTGTCTTTTTGATATTAGCCATTCTGACTTGTGTGAGGTGATTTCTCGTGGTTTTGATTTGTATTTTCCTGATGATTAGTGATACTGAGAATCTCTTGTGACTGTTGGCCATATGTATGTCTTCTTTGGATAAATGCTTATTTAGGTTCTCTGCTTATTTTTTCATTGGGTTGATTTTTTTTTTGGTGTTGACTTGTATGAGTTCTTTATATATTTTGGATATTAAACCCTTATCAGATAATATGATTTGTAAATATCTTCTTTTATTCCATAGGTTACCGTTACATTTTGGTGATGGTTTCTTTCACTGTATAAAAAGCCTTTTAGTTTGATGCAGTCCCAGTTGTTTCTTTTTGCTTTTGTTGCCCTTGCCTGAGGAGACAAATCAGGGGGGGAAAAAAAAAATATATATATATATATATATATATTGCTAAGACCAAGGTCCAAGAGTTTACTGCCTGTGTTTTCTTTCAGGAGGTTTATAGTTTCAAGTCTTACATTTAGTTTTCTAGTCCATTTTGAGTTTGTTCATTTATTTTGATATTTTTGTTGTGTGGAGTCTTACAGGGTTTTCCACATATAGTATCATGTCATCTACAAATTGTGGCAGTTTTACTTCTTCCTTACCAATTTGGATGCTTTTATATCTTTTTTTGTCTCATTGCTGTGGCTGGGACTGCTAGTACTGTGTTGAATAAAAGTGGTTAGAGTGGACATTCTTGTCTTGTTCTTGATTTTAGAGGAAAAGCTTTCAGCTTTTTACTGTT